AATGCAATTACGCCCCTTTGAAATGTTGGCACTGAAATATGATTTTTCCCAGCTGGATGGCATCCCTATCTTGTTTGCCTTGCCTTGAAAAGAGCTAACATCGCTGCGGGCCCGCGAATCGTGGGCCCCACTGACAGCTCATCATTTGTAAACAAATAGAAGATTCAATCCAGAATTTCAAAAAAGACGTGACTGATATTATGGATATTCTTAATATTTTTGCTTACATTTTGTGAAAAATAAACTTAGGACTCATAAAATATTATTTTCTGATTTTCTACCACGAAGTCAACCATTTATATGGCATAAAAGGGAAAATAATTTCATTTGATAAAAATAAGACAATTCAGTCACGCCATTTTTGCAGTTCACACTGGAATCGTGACGTTTCAGATGTTGGTTTCAATAACATGGCGGCATGCCACCCAGCTGATTTTTCCCCATACAGTTTAATCCGCTTTAGTATCAGCCCCAGAGAGCCATAAATTTAAATTTGAGAGAAAAAAATTTGCTCTCACTAGTTCAATTTCTCAACATGCCATGTATTTTGATAACATGCCATGTATTGTGATTTCCCTCTCACAGGCTACTAAATAGAGTACCAGACACTGCAAAACATGTCTGGTACCTCTATATATGCATTTTGATTAACATCCGAAGTCCCTCCTTTTTTACATATTCTGCACAAAAGATACTTTCTGCCCCGACCCATTCATAAAAATCGGCGAGAAATCCTAAATCTAAGAGGAAGAGGAGACAATAAGAGGGCGAAAACGAACCACTTTTCTGTCAAACGCGAACCAGCTCGTGATTGGCCGATTTGAAGTGCGTAAGATAGAGATAGAGATAAAGAAGCCAGTTGTCTCCTTTTCCTCTTAGAACTAAATGCATATATAGAGAGAGACCTTTTCCTCTTAGATCTAAATGCATACAAATTATGTTGTACTTTCTGATGGAAAATGAATGCAGAAGCTTGACAAAATGATTAATTTGTGATCAGTATGATAGATCGATAAAATATCGTTCTATTCTAGATATTTTGGATATCTGTATCTTATTAATCGAGCTTAAATTAGGGCGTTAAAGGCCTTTGTAAACAATGACTTCTCTCGTTGATTTCTAGGAATTCAAGGTACGCCTACACAAACCAACATATCCATCGGGTAGGGGAAGTCTTCCCCTACTCGATGGTGATGTCGATTTGCCAGTGAGAGCCATAATTTCGAGAAATCATCAAGAGAAGTAATTGTTTACAAAAACTGTTACGCCCCAATTCCAGCTCAATCCAGATTTGTATTACGGAAATTTGAACCTTGATGAAGAAAATAGGCTGACCTTGGTCGTTAGCGAATTTGAAACTATTCTGTTTTACAAATCCACCCACAAGGTGATACTCTAAAGAAGCCTTAGCGTGAAACTTTAAAGGCACAAATGTCAGCTTCCACAAAACATACACATTTGAAATTGCTACTCCTTGTTTGCTGTGCTACTACAAACAGAGAGTAGCAATTTCAAATTTATGTTGTAACGCGTGTCGATGTCCAATGGGATTTTACAAACGCTTACCGATATTCAAATCCATATTGATAGCATTTTTAAATTCATTACAGTGTGAATCCGATTTTGGTAACATTATTTGCCTATACATAAATCCTTAAACCATATTTTATATTATTTTTCTAGACTTTCTGAAAAATTTTAAGGTTTTGGAAGAGATTAGATAATCAGGTTTGCAATTATTTAAAATTGTGGCAAGATTGATAGTAATATATTGTATGTTGTTAAAATCGAATCCTTACTATGTATATTGGTTTGAAACCCATGTTCCTAAGTATTTATAGCCTCAGCAACAAGGAATTGTGCTAAGCAAGGTGAGAGAAATGTGCATCTATATAGTGGACGTTACTGCCTTACTTCTTACCAATCAGGCTAAGGCCTTGTTGTCCTCTGCTGTCCGAAGAAGTCGTCTCCACTCTACTCGATCCATGGCCACACTTCGCCAGCCTCGTAGTCTGCGAAGGATCCGCAGGTCGCCTACTTTTTGGTCGATCCACCTTGCCCGCTGCGCGCTTCTTCTTCTTCTTGTTCCTGCTGGGTCGCTTTCTAGAACAATTTTCACTGGGTCGTCGTGCGGCATTCTTACGACTTGCCCAGCCTACCGTAGTCGTTCAATTTTTACAATGTGGACGATGGATGGTTCTCCCAGCAGCTGGTGCAATTCGTGGTTCATTCGCCTCCTCCACGTTCCGTTATCCATCTGCACTCCATCGTAGATGGTACGCAACACCTTCCGTTCGAAAACACCAAGGGCGCGTTGGTCCTCCACGAGCATAGTCCAGGTCTCGTGGCCGTAGAGGACCACCGGTCTAATCAGCGTCTTGTAGATAGTCAACTTCGTGCGGCGGCGAATTTTATTCGACCGGAGCGTCCTCCGGAGTCCAAAGTAGGCACGATTCCCTGCCATAATGCATCTTTGAATTTCTCTGCTGGTATCATTTTCGGTGGTCACCAGTGAGCCCAAATACACCAACTCATCGCCCTCCTCGATTTCGTCACCGTCAATCTGAACTCGGGGTGGTAGGCTAACATTATCTTCCCTAGAACCTCTTCCTTTCATGTATGTTGTCTTTGATGCGTTGATGGCAAGTCCAATCCGCCTAGCTTCAACCTTCAGTCTGATGTACGTTTCCGCCATCATCTCAAAGTTCCGTGCCATGATGTCAATGTCATCGGCGAAGCCAAAAAGCTGGATGGACTTCCTGAAGATCGTGCCACTCGTGTCTATCCCAGTGCTTCTGATCACACCTTCTGACGCGATGTTGAATAGCAGACACGAAAGTCCGCTCAAAGGGACTCGAGAGTGTCCCCGATACTCGAACAACGCACATCACTCGATCCATCGTCGCCTTGACCAATCGTGTCAGTTTATCCGGAAATCCGTACTCGTGCATAATCTGCCATAGCTGATCTCGATCGATTGTGTCGTATGCGGATTTGAAATCGACGAACAAATGATGTGTGGGCACGTTGTATTCGCGGCATTTCTGCAGAACCTGCCGAATCGCGAAAATTTAGTCCATCGTATTGCCCCCCGAACTCTTTTGCAAATGGTGACAGGAGGCATCATAGAATTTGGGAGAGCATTTTTTTGGCAAAAACTGTGTTATGCATTGGAATCGATTGTCAAGTACACAGTGAACACGAAAAGATTCCTACTTTGTTCAGAAAATATCGCGACAAATACCAAAACTTTGCTGTCCCATCCAGAAGAGCCTATGGAGAAAAAAAAATCTTCAACAGCGTTTTTCTCCGCTTGCTGTTTTAACCAATGGGACAACTTTGCTGAAAGGGGCAGTTTAGTTTAGTCCTTAACAATAAAATCAGTGCCTGTAATCTTTCATAAGGGTCTTAAGTCGCAAACGTAAGCAATAGCTTAATGCTGGATGGTTACTTGAGCCAGCTGAAAAATCAGTATCGAACTATAAGGAGCTATATGCGAGTTCTAGCCGTCCGTTAGTTTGTATGTGTTATAACAGAGCACTTCTTTATCCTCGTTTTGAAACGGGACAGATTTTTCATACTACAAAAATTAAAAATTAAATCTTAGGATGATTCTTTTTGATCGGGCTAGTATCTAATGCCAAAATCTTAAAACGTGATGTTTAACCAGATCTGATATTTGAATCATCTTCCAATCGATGTACACTTTAGACCAATATCATGTTCACATGGTTAGTAAAATTATATTTCATAACTAGAAGATTACGAATGTGGAAAAAATATAAAAATGCTGTTAAAATGTATTTCTAGTCATACTAATACATGTAGCCATGTCAAGCGTTACATTCACCGCTCATGTCGTAGTGGAAATATTGACTTTTTGAAAGTTCTGTCTTTTCTGGCCACTTAACGAGGGCTACTCTGTTTGGCATAAAGTTGTTTGGCATAATAGTCATTTGGCATGAAGTATGGCACGTATGGCACAAAGCAATGGAAACTTTTAAATTTAATTGTAAACATGGTAAACTAGGAATTATTAGGCATTTAGTTAGGTAATTAAAAATAATGGATATTCGTTCAATTTGTTGTGCGATAGGTATATGAGATGCAGTGAGTCTGGCGGACAGGATTTCGATCTACCAAAAAGCGGAATAAATTCAATATCTGTAGACCAACAATTGAAAAGGTACTATCAACTTTTATAAACCAATCGTTGATTATTCTTTCCTCGCCAATCTAACGCAAATTACCGGCATCATCGGATAAGGGAAGCTTTCCCCAACCCAAAAATGGTGTTAGTTTGCGTAGGCGAGCCTTGAGTCACGAGAAAAGGGTTTCCAAAGTTTCGTTCACAATAGCTGATGTGCTCTTTTCTGTTGTTGGTCGTGATTTGCTCGATTGGTTCCGCCATTTGACAGCTCAATTGGTTCCCGAGATTCTATCCGCCAGACTATGAATATAGCGACTATAGGGCGGAGGTGCCAGTGTAGCTATTTATCAAATGCTGTAGTAGTGGAAGTGCGTAGTATCTGGAAGAGATTTTGATATGCTTAGTTATACCAAACGATGCCAAATGACTATTATATCATGTCATTTTATGCCTTTTTTAAGGTTTTATTATGGACATGTTTAGCCAACTGGCTATTTCATCTCCGTTACTTATTTTATGCCAAACAGTGCAGAAGATTAAATATGATCAACAGGCATCTTAAACGAGTATTGTCCACGTCTAAAAACAATAATAATCCTACACGACTGATATATTCGGTTAAACGCATGCTTAGAACTCGTTTTGTGATCTTTGTCAACAGTTTTAGGAAAAAATAGAGTGGTGTATGGAGGTCGAGCGGTGAACGGGCCTCACCTGGTAATTCAGTGGAACCACCACCATGCGCTACCGGACTACGAAGTTTATCCACCAGAACGCGAAGCAGCCGCTTTTCCGGTACAACAAGCCACCCCGTGATTTTATACTCCGAAACCCACCCAACGCTACTTACCACATTACTGTTGTTGGCACTGTTGCCGGTGCTGTTCTGCCTATCGCTGGGGTCGTTACTGATGTGATATCTTCGCTGGAATGCTGCCGCCATTTCGTTGCTTCCATGCTGTGAGTTTGTTGCCGTCGGCCGTTCCCACTGTGTCGTACGGGCGATGTGATTCACGTAGTAAGTCCGTCCGATGGCGTCCTGCCGTTCTTCCCAGCCCTGCGGCATGGCCTCCCCGTTGGACGGCGCCGTCTGTGCTGTGCGAAGCTGCAGATTGCGGAAAATCATGATATTTAACTGGCTTGCAGAACCCGGGTTCTGAAGGGATACTTACGGCTACCGAGGCAGGTTGTTCAGCCACGGACCAGGCATTCTGGTCCGCACCTTCCTGATCACGCATCACCGCGTGGTAGATATCCAGTGAACCTCTGATCTTGGAACGTAGCATGCCGGTGATCTTCTTCGGCCGGAGAGGATAGTTTTTGGTAGCAATCGAGCGCCCCTCCTGTTCCCGGGGCAGGTTAATCAAGGTAAGCTCGACCATACCCAGGAAACCATCCCGGGTAAGACGATTCTCGTCGTAAACCTGGAAGACCAGCTTGTGCTCGTTGGGCTTGACCCGGAAGATAAACTCTTCCTCCCACACCGGATTGAGCGTCTGGAAATTCGACCAAGCATATCAATACCAGCGACGACATCTAGCGGGAGTGGAAAATTACCTTCTTCTTGGTCTTGGTGACCATGGAATCAATGTTGACATCGCCGACGATCGTATTGACATCTACCTTAACGTACGGATCACTGTTGCCGAAGATGTCCTTCTTCGTGAGCGAGTGCGCTGCAACCACCTTAATCCGAATCAGACTAGATTCTTCGTCATTCTGCGGATATGAGAGCAAGAAAAGTTTATCCAATTAATTCCAACCGCATTAGTCATCGCTGGCGATAAAGGGATTTTATTTTGTTAAAAAAAACACATGTCATGTCGCATTTACCAGAATCATTGTAGAACTAGGAGATAAGCACCGTAGTAAACACCGAAAATTAACACGAAATTCTTGGAAGATGGTCTCAAGAATACCCCCTTTTTACATCTCTAAGTCACAAGACGTAGCGAAATCCGCGCGAGCCGATCAATGCAGTATGTTAACTCAACCAGCGACGAAGGAAAACTCAGTCGTCGCGTTCGATAAACTGCGGGACCTGCGCGTTTATCGCTGATAAGCTCCCACAACAGAGAGTGATAACAGCCGACCGCCGCTGACAAGATAAGACGGAGCCCTAAAAAAAAAAACGCTGACTATAATGGGCAGGTAGTTGAACTGAGGGGGCACTCTCCGAAATGCACATGAACAGAAACTGTCAAGAAATTCGTGAGTGACGCTGCTGACGAGGACTACGTAACAGGCAACGGAACGGTATGGGAGCTTTATCTGCTTCTGTTGTTTAGTAGAAAGCTGTAGAAAGCAAGGCTACCAATACCTGCAGCAAGCACCGGGTCGCATCGGTCTGTGATTTGCAAATACGCCAGATAAGGACACATAGTGACGATATTGATTGAATAACTTGAATAACGAAGATTGTGCTCTTTGAAAGAAAAAAAAAACACGTGCGCTGATAAGTTTTAAATTCGGGCCGAACATTGCATTAGGTCCTAAGTAACACTGATCGATTCTCTTCGTCAACTTTCTCTTTCGTTGATAACATGAGCACAGAACCGTTTCTTGATGTGTTTGTCTTATTAGATGCTAGATAAAAGCTTTTTTTATCGATCTGTGTGCTGAAAATACCTGGGAATGTCTTTACAAGGCCGTGGGGATGCAAAGAGAAAGTCGACGAAGAGAAGCTGTCAATGTTACATAGCAGGCATAACGCAACAAATTTTGATAACGGCACAAAAGCATTTGTAATGCCTTGTTCAGACTGGAGAGTTATAACATGTTATAGCGGTTGTCAAATAATTGCAACACAGAAACCACCATCAAGATAGCGCTATAACATGTTATAACTCTGTAGTCTGAACGTACTATAAACAAACTTTTTAAGGCCCTTTACACGCGAACCAAAGTACGCCCACGCAAACCACCAACATCATCGGATAGGGGGAACTATCGCCTTTTCGAAAGTGGTATTGGTTTGCGTGAGCGTACTTTGGTTCATATGTAAAGGGCCTTAGGCCGTTCGCAATGCTGTTGTATTTTATAAGGACTGTTTCAATTTGAAACTAGAACAGAAACGCACCTCTCGCAATGCTGAGTTGCAGTTTCATTGTTCGAGCACTATTTTGCATCAGCTTTGCAACTGCTCGACTATTCTGTTTTATTTCTGAGCGAGTTTGAAACACGAATGGAACTCTGTTTCAAATTTCTTTGGATGTGTTGAAGATGTTTCGAAGAGCTCCACAAACAAAAAACGGAGAACTTCATAGAGAACAGTAAAGTATATGGAACTTGATGATTACAAACATCTTTTAGAACTGTGCGTTGCGCTGATCGTGTTGCAGTTTTATTTTTGACAGTTTCAAATTATAGAATTGACGAGTAGTTTAAAACAATTTTGAAACTCAGCATTGCGAACGGCCTTAGAATGTTTGTTTACAAATCGACAGTGAGCATGCATAAGGGCGAATACGCGATGATCGATTCTCTTCATCTATTTTCTCTTTGCATTGCTACAGCTAAGCGAAACAATTTTCTAGAATTTGTTCAATGCAGAATAGTAACAGGTTGTATTGGCTATAAAAATCAACAGCAAACGCACCGAGAAACTGTAAATCTAGCGAGTTATTAACAAAAGAGAAAATCGACGAAGAGAATCGATCATCGCGTATAGGCCCTTATGCATGCTCACTGTCGAAATGCTTTTGTACACAGAAGCAAAATCCATTGGCAAAATTACTATATTGATGGTTTAAATTAAATACTCCCACCAATAGATTTGTGCAGAAACGAAATTCATTTAATTTTACTATTTTTTCTATCAAAACTACTATGCCGTTTTAGTAAGCATAGTAGTTTTGACAGAATGGTATTAACTTTGTTTATATTTATAGTCAACTATACTGAAATCATGATAGATTTAACGGCAATAAGCGTAGTTTTTTTTTCCTTTGGTTTGTTTTTTTTCCGTCAATCTTGTTTTCCGTGCTGAGCACCAATGCTACCGACGTGCCAGGAAGGCAGCTCCCACACCTGGACCCTACCTATCGACCCATCAACTCATGAACCGGGGACCAACGGCTTTACTTCCCATCCGAAGGAAGGCGTGATCAGAGATGTTATTGCCTCAGAACATCCCGGCGGCGCCGACTGGGATTGTACCCAGACCTGCTGGGGTGAGAGGTAATCACGCTTACCACTACACCACCGGCGCCGTTAAATAAGCGTAGTTATACTGAAAATAAGTGTTTTCTGCAAAATAGTATTTCTAACTATGATCTTTGTTTCAGTGTACCGTTATCAAATGTTATGCCTAAGGACCTAATGCAATGTTCAGCTTGAATTGTTGTTTTTACACATCTGGATCAACAATAGAAAAGGGCCCATCAGCATTTGTAAACAAACCGTTCCAAAGCTCTTTACTCACACAGTGAAGGTCACTCACGTAAACCAACACCATCATCGGATAGGGGAAACTTCTACCTACACGATGATGGTGTTGGTTTGTGTGGGAGGCATTCGATTTGGGAGGAATGGGCTTTGGAACCAGGGGTTTGACATATAGCTGAATACACGTACTCAACATCAAAACAACAAAACATATCATGGTACCGCTGACAACGTTGCAGATGTTCGGTACGCAACAAACTTAAGCGATATGACAGCCATATCCATCCCCTGGCGTTCAGACTATCTGATTGGTTGGTCTGATTCGAGCGGACTGCTCGAATTGTCGGATGCAATATTCGAATGAGTTCACATTTTTTCGACATGATGATTAGATTTGACGTTTGATTTGTCAAACGTAATAGGTTTGTGGTTAAGTTTCATTCGACTCATTCAGCAAAATTGCCGCAATTGAAATGAAAATATTGATTTTTTTCTACTAAAATTTCATGGATTTGATTTGTGTTTTGATGACATCCAGGAGCAAGGTAAACCGATTTCGCTATTCAATGTGAATAATTTGACTGATTATTATTTTGCAGTGTGTTTGGCCGTCAACAAAACAGTGTTTATATAATACGAAGCATGTAATATATAAGAATAAGCATGTCAAACATCAGGTCTGAGGGTCTACTAAGAATATTTTATAGCTTCAGACAGATTTGGAGATCTACTGGGAAATTTGCTGAGCTTCAGGGTAGTTCTTAGATCTTGAGAACATAACTACAAAAGTTCAGAAAATTTTACAGAAATTAAATGAAATTTACAGAAATTCAGAAAAAAAAATCACAAGAGAGATCGTAGATCTTCAGAAAAATGTTCAAAGAAATTTTCAAAACTTCAAGCAAGCTTGAATATTTTCAGATCAATTCAGGCATAACATTTGATAACGGCACAAAAGCATTTGTAAACAAACTTTCTAAGGCCCTTTACACGTGATCTACTTCAGGAGAGTAGATATTTAGAGAAATCTGTAGAACTGCAGGAAATTTTGTAGATCTCCAGAGACATTCAGTGTTTCAGAAAAGTACTTCAATTCCAAAAACAAATCTCAGCGAAATACGAAAGTACACGTTGTGATCGTAACCCCCGCAACAGCCGAAAATCAACGGGAGGTGGTGTCCTCTTGGCTGTCGGTTCTGAATTGAAAGCCAGAGCAATTGAAAATGATCTGTGGAACAGCGTAGAGCAGGTCTGGGCAGCTGTGGACCTAGCGGATCGCACGTTGTTTGTATGTGTGGTCTACATACCTCCAAACCGAGCTCGAGATATAGATTTCATCGACACCCATTGTCGTTCAATTCAAGCTGTCTTGGAAAGCGCAACTGCTATTGACGAGGTTATTGTCTTGGGAGACTACAATTTACCTGGTATCTCGTGGCAACCATCCCATAGCGGTTTTCGGTATCCGGATCCAGAACGATCAGTGTTCCATTGTGGAGCCACTATGCTTCTTGATAGCTACAGTACGTCTACGTTATCGCAAATCAATCATGTAGTCAACGAGAACAACCGCAGCTTGGACCTTTGTTTCGTCAGTTCTCAGGATGTCGCTCCATTCATCTCCTGTGCACCCGCTCCACTAGTGAAACCAACTCCACATCACCTTCCTTTGATTGTGACTGTGGAGAGCAAGTTACTTCACGATTTCGACGAAACGCCCGTTGCTGTTTCCTACGATTTTCGAAAAGCAGATTACCGCAGCATCTCAGACTTGCTCTCCAGCTTGGACTGGGAAAACATCCTCGATCATCACGATGTTGAGGTAGCCGCAAGAACGTTTTCACACATTTTGGCGTATACTATCGACAGACATGTCCCGAAGATAAGTCACCAGAAAACAGCTCATCATCCATGGCAGACTAAGGAGCTCCGTAGACTGAAATCTACTAAAAGAGCTGCACTACGCAAATACACCAAGTACCGTACGTTCCAATTAAAATGCTATTATGTTCGACTAAACCATCAATTCAAACGGATCAGTCGCCAAAGCTATTCGCGATATCAGCAGGGAATTCAGCGCAGGATGAGATCACATCCGAAATCCTTTTGGAACTATGTAAACGAGCAGCGAAAGGAATCCGGTCTTCCATCGTCCATGGTGTTCAATGGCGAAGTGGGATCCACAAATCAGGAGATTTGCCGACTCTGCTCTCTCAAATTTGCCGATGTTTTCACTGACGAGAGCCTATCTGACGAATATGTTAACCTCGCAGCAAGCAACGTTCCAATGCACGGCGATACATTAAATGGCATCGACATCAACGATATGACTA